TATTATACTACCAATCTTCATTATTCTATTCTCTGCACATACAAAAATGCATTAGATGGCAGAACACAATTAGTTATAAAATAATCAAGTCTACAAATGGCAGGTGACAACTGAGCAGGTAGGGCACAATTTAAATTCAGGTTTCTACTCAGGTCAAATAAAGTCACATATTAATGGAAAAAATTAGCTACCTCAGTATAGCACAACCTTCAGTTAAAATATGTCATTTGAGGACATGCCATGCAAAGTTGTCGGCAAGGAATGACTCATGGGAAATTATAAACAATATCAGGAACAAAAAGCTAGAAAATCAAACCACAAGAACAGAAACAGGCTAAGAATTGTAATTTTGATACAGACATTTCATAGCAAATAGTATAATGATCAGTACCACATCATGGAAAATAGAATGAAGACTATTGCAAGGTCATTCACGTAACTGGTACAAAATTGCAAAGATGCTCAAAAAAATTTATGCCGCATTAGATAATTTAGAACACAGATTTCAGACACGAAAATAAGCAGTGCAAAATCAGGTAACATTCAATTACAGAATCACAGCATATATGCACACATCACTAATTATCCAGGTGAAGCTTCAACAATTATGATAGTTTAGTTATAGATGATAATGCGTGATTATGTCAGAAATATCACCTTACAGTTTGTTAGTTATCTTTAGAGAACTTACAATCAGTATCCTATAGAACACAAGTTGCATATGTCAAGTTTTATCGAAGAGAGCACACTAGAGCTACTGTCAATTAACTCTAACAATCTGGTACCTCGGTAGGAACTTAATTCACCTAACAGGTAATTATTAGCACACACTTCATAACTGTAAATTATGTCATGACTGAGTATTAATATTTTGTTTTTCCTACATGTCGTTTTATTTAAATTTTGTTCTTAAACAAACTCAAAATTCATCATATACACAAACTCATATTTGACCGGGAACTCGATACTAAACGCTGCTACCAGGGTTGGTGATTTTTTTGATTTTTTAATAAAATCAAAAAAAATCAAAAATTAATGATTTTTTTATTTTTTCATGAGTTTTTTTATTTATTTGATTTTTTTTTATTTTTTTGTGTTATTTTTGAAGTGTTATTTTTATGTTGCACTTAGCTTGCTAACAATAACAGTATATGGATCATAATGGATGGCTAAAAAGGGCACTTATTGCCTTCAATAATGGCCAACAGGCCAAGGTGGCATTTACCACATAGGGATTTTTGGGTAAACAATTATTGATAAGTCTATTCATTAGCTTTGTAAAGTTGGTATGGAGCAAAGTAATGAGCTAAATATTGACCATTTAACTCGCTTCAATATACAAAAACACTTCAGGAATGCAGATTTTCTAAACATTGAAGAGTCACATAACAGATAGGTAGCTGATAGCACAGTGCACAGCACTATCAATAGATCTACCAGTTTTATGTTCTATAAATCTACCAGACTCGACCCTCTATACACACCAACTAGTAGTGACTGAGTGACTGACTGCACTGGTCCCATTTAATTCAGACCAATAAACCAATATTAAACATAAACTGAACAATAACCAAACAAACCTCAAACGACTTGAAACGAGACTTAAGTTGAGAGAAAAGCTAACACTGTTTGAAATAAACATGAGCATAATTCAAACAGGAAATAACTTTTCAAGTCCCTTTTTGTCACAATAGCCTGATCATTTCCAGAACATTGCAAAGATTTTTACGTTGTACGTCTGTAAAGATATGTCTTTTCAAACTCATTTTGTGATGCAAGCATAATCACTCAGATAACTGAATAGGTTTTTCTTTTGAATGTATGTTAAGCATACTTTTTTCAAGTTTTCTTTTGTAATACAAGCACAATCTTACTAGGCGAACTGTATACTGTATTTTTTTGTTGAATGTTTGTGAAGAAAATGTCTTTTCAAAGCTCCTTTTGTAGTAAAAGCATAATCACACTCAGAACACTGAATAGGTTTTTCTATTGAATGCTTGTGAAGAAAATGACTTTTCAAGTCTCCTTTTGTAGTACAAGCATAATCACACTCAGAACACTGAAACATGAAGGTTCTCCTGTATTATTCTTTGCAATGCTCAGCTCTATTATTTATTGAATGACAAAAAAGGAAGACGCTTTTGAACAAAAAAATTTGGCATGGTTGTTGCCAATAGAGACCGCCACATTTCATTATTATTCAACTACAGACAACTATTAGGAAAAATGAGTTTGGATTTGGAATAGTAAACCTACTGCAAGTAAATATAGATAAAATTTGTCATGACTTCTGACCAATTATTGAATCTAGATGAGGGAGATTATAACTAATTATTCTTGCTTAATATTTCAGACATAATACTGGGTTGCAATTTGTCTTCTGAGCCCAACTTGAAGATTTTATCACGGGAATAGCATTCATTCTGCATTTTTTTTAATGAAAATCTATGCAAGAATTTCAAATGCTCACTTGCATATCAACTCCACCTACCTCATTTCCATATGAGAATGATTCTTCTTTGATGGATACTTCTTCTGTTTTGTCCTCAGGCTCTTCTTTGATGGAGATAGCAGAATCTTTTAGTACCGGCATAGGGTAAACCTTTTCTAAGGCTGGAAAAAATGTACATTGGTTTACTGGTACCACTGGGCTATGGAGCAAGTTGTCTAATAGTAAATACAATGCCCACCAAATGAAGACATGTAAGCTTAGGCAAAAACATTGCTCAGCGGGAAATGCCACTTCATGAGTGAAACTAAAGAGGTGGCATTTTCTCACACAAGATGAGAATAAAATTGGATATATTTACATAACCTCTGTTCCTCCTCTGTATAATAACAATTAATGAGTGATTCAAATGGAATTTGGCTTACCTTCAGATTTTACTTTGCCGCCACCAGGAGATGTTTGACTGAGGCTCTGCTCAGGGCATCTGCCACTCCTGACTGCAGCATCAGAGAGTTGATGCGGCACAACACTGCATTCTTTGGTAATGGGCACCATCACCAAATGTAATGATAGTTATGAACCACTGAGGTTGAAGTTTTCAATCTATAATGTTGGCAGAATTAGTAATAACACTGGATGGATACAGGAAATTGTACTGAGTTTAATAAAGACCCAACAGAAGACCTTAATTTCAGAATTTGCAACAAAATTAAACCAACCAAAGTTACTGATGCACACCATTGCTTACTTTATGCATCAGCAATTTTTAATGCACACAATTTGGCTACATGCAAGAATGGCTTGTATAATAGAAATTAAAAACGTCTTGAAATAGACATGACATTTTGAAGGATATCACAGGAAATGGATATCTAAGGGATGATTTTCAGGATGAATTTTGGCTCCAGAATATTGCTATCAATATTTTTGTACACATAGCAACACACATGTTGCTATATGAATATCAACATTTGATATATTCAATAATACTATTGTTGGAGTAAGTTGCCTGAACTTAAGACATTAGAAAAGATACAAGCTCTTGATAGTGAAAATTATTGATTGATGAATAGTATTCATGAATTACAAGTTTAAATCAACAAGACTTGTTATAGTAATAGTTTGTGTCTGAGTAGTGACTTCTGCCATTTTATCTATCTTTCAAAGTCTAGTCTCATTCGTTTCATACAATTCATCAAATCTTATTCATAAACAAGTTTCCCAACCACTACCATTATAATATTGTGATTTCAAGTATCTCATAAGAGATTTGGCTCTAAAGTTTTCTCGTTTCTTTTATGGAAACCTTTAAATATTGTTATTGAATTAGTATTGTCATTGTACCTTCCAAGTATTGTCATTGGATTTTCCATCTAATTTTTAACCTTTTTCAATATATTTTAAAATTAATCTCTTCAACTGCAGTGTTTCGACTTGCATGATAAATTTCACAATTATGTCTGATTAATAGTCACAATAACTATAGATGAAAGATAAATTGAGGTGATATATCTAGGGTGTTGAAACACTGCGCTGTATTCAACCATCTTAAGACCTTAAGATCCCCCCAGGTAACATACCCAGAGTGTTTAGGGACACACACCCAAGGCCATGCTGAAAGCACCACCTTTTGACGGCGACTATGTGCCGTCTACTAGCGACACCGAGACTTTAACTGAACTTCCCAGGGCTCGAACCCACGCCTAGCTCCTCCATCTCGGTGCCGCTTTACCGTCGTCACTGCACATACAGTGGCCCTATAACCACTGCGCTACAGTGATCATAGTAATTATACATCAGCACATTAGTCATTAAAAAATTATAACTCATTACTCACTGCAGTGACTGACAGAGAGCGCATTTTCTTGGTGACGAAAACGTGAAGTCACGGACGGACAAGTCAAGGATGGACATGACAAGCAAGACACAGACGGAAATGATGAGCAAGTGACGGACGGACATGATGAGCACAATAGAACTTTTTTTCCATAAATGAGAAAATGCCCTAAAAAGATCAACTAGCCTTTAAGCAACACTTGAGATAGTTTTTAATAGATGTATGCAAGTAACTGACTATAACAAATCAATGAGTTTAAAAGCGATGAAATTAAATGTTAATACATGGATCCATTGTGAAGAAACTTTCTTCATGTCAGATGATGATTTGATCCAGGAAGAATTCACATTCATATTCAATATTTATATTAGCATTTGATGGCAGAATTTTCTTAGTTAAAGACGTACAAATAATGACCAGAGAATTTGTTAATTTCAATTTGCAAGGAATCAAAATTCTTCAGATGTTGGTAACAGATCGAAAGGCAGGCCTCAGCAAGGATGTATAATATATTTAATGACATTTCAAATGTACCAACATTTTTTATCAAGTCAATAGAATCATTAAAGAATGAAATTTTGGTGAACAGAAGTACATAATACATGTAAATAGGATACAACAAGGAAATTTTATATGGAAAATGACTCTGAAAACTATCTCAAAGTTCATACAATTTTGGTAGTTTGAAAACAGATAGCTGGGATCGGCCAGCCGTCATTGGTTGGTTAATATCAGGCGCCACTGCACCATGAAGATACTTGTGGGTTCGTCCAGCACAGTGTGGGTAACGGTCTTGTGAGTTTGTCTCAAAGGGCCCCCCTGTCCTCCACACTGTAGGTGGCAGGTGAGATGGTCACATTATCATGGTTTTTAGTCCAAAAATTCCAATGTGGTCCAAATTACAAAGAAGTCTACAATTTTCTTTGAAGAAAAATTTACAGTCTGCACCGGCCTCTTGGAGAACTCCTGCTATTCTGCAGGGTCGAGTGTTTCATATAGTCAGGAGCATGACGTTGTTGTCAAAGGTATCACTAAGCAAGTTGAATTCTTTGATGATTTGATATGAAGTTGCTTGTTAGAAATACTCAAAGTCGTAGTTGTTGGTCCAATTACTCTGGTGTAGTCCAAATTTGGAAGAAGTCTACAACCTTTTTTGAAGCAAAATTTTTTTAAGCAAAATTGGAGAACTCCCACTTTTTTCAGAGTCCATAGTAACATATAGTCTGGAGCTTGACATTGTTGTCAAACTGTCTGAACTTTGAGATAGTTTTGTCATTTTCCATTCAAAATTTCCTTGTTGTATCCTATTTACATGTATTATGTACTTATGTTCAACAAAATTTCATTCTTTAATGCTTCTATTAACTGGAAAATGAATGTTGATGCATTTGAAATGTTGTTAAATATATTATACATCCTTGTTGAGACCTTCCTTTCAATCTGTTAATGTCATCTGAAGAGTTTTGATTCCTTGCATATTGGAATGTAATGTTCTCTGGTCATTATTCCTGTGTTTCAATATATTTATATTGATATGAATTTATGAGATTTGTTAAAGAAATCAAAATATCACAAGGATACAAACTTGAGTGTGATAGCTTGAGCTTGAAAAGAAATCAAAGAATGATTCATCAAAAGCCAAAAATGATATCCATAAATAGTTTGCATACCCACTATAGCCACTAACCACCATAACAGTTGTTATGGTAAGCTCTCTTGATAATGTGGGTGGCAACTTAGCGTGACTGAGGAACTTTGCTGAGTCAGGGTTTCAAAACAATGGTTTGATTGATGATGTCCTACTCCCCTACGTCCATCCCATCTCACCACTAAGATTAATACTTTGGATTTGTATTTAATAATTAAATAGAGAAACAATTACAAATAGAGGGAGCAGCAAGTATACATAGAGAACCAAGACTGAGGTAAAACCAAGTCACTGAGTCAACTTTTAAATTTCAGTGAATCACATCTTTGATAATTTGTCTGCTTCATCCCAGTCTAGATAAGTCAAACATTTATTAAAAATGTGATTTCCATAAGAAGTACACTTCATCCATTTTCAAATAACCATGTCATACTGAAAATAGATTAGACAGTAATGGTCATTTGTCATTAGATACAAAATCAAATAGTACATGTTTACTCAAACAACTTGCTACAAACCATAGCAAAAAGCATAGTGATCAGTATCACATCATGGAAAAAATAATTAACAATAATGCAAGGTCTCCCACAAAATTGCTGTTAACTTGCAAAGTTATTCAACAAATTCTAAGCCGGAGAAGGTAATGCAGCACACAGATTTCAGAAAGGATAATAAGCAGTGCAAAATCAGGTAATATTCAATTATAGGATTGTAGCATCTGTCCCATATTCCTAATTAGCCAGGTGAAGTTGTAACAATTATGATGGTGATTTAGTAGTAGATAATAATATTTAATTATGCCAGAAATATTACCTTACGTTTTTTAAGTTATCTCTAGAGAACTTACAATAATTATCCTATAGAAGACAAGTTGAATATGTTGAGTCTCATCAAAGAGAGCACAATAGAGCTACTGACAACTGACTCTACCAATCTGGTACCTCGGCTGGAACTAAATTCACTTGACAGGTAATTATGAACATACACTTCGGAAATACAAACTACATGTCATAAATGCATATCACTCACAATATTTTGCTTTTCATACATGTCACTTTATTTAAATTTGGTCCTCTAACAAACTCTGAATTCCTCACATATACATAATGAAATTTTAGCCAGGAACTCAATACCAAATGCTGCTTCATAAGATTATAGTTCTTTTGCCAATCCTAAAATGTATGATAGTTTGACAATAAGCTAAGCATTCTAGAGATTTTACAAAGTGTGATGGTTGTGAAATTGATTAAAGTTGATTGTTGATCGGAATAAAAAACTAAAATATTGTTTATTGTGAGGATTTTCTATCAAATCACCAAGAATGTAATATTTTTAGCTAAGGGATTGATGTGGAACTTCTGGCCTGCTACAGCTCACTGACCTGCCACTCTCCTCAGAGAGAACCATGAGTCAGTATACCTGGGGAAATGCAATACACTTAACACCAGAAGCATCACATCAGGCCTACACTTCAGAGCCGACATCACTATGTTATGACTGTCACTTGCACAAAACTGACGACTTATAGCAGACTCATGTGTGCAGCTAAGAAAAAACTGGTTGCCGATATTCCAATGAAGCAGCATTCAAGCTCCAATAAGCAAGAGGCTCCATTATTCTATTTCATGTCCACGCAATCACAAGTAGCTGCCAACTTCGAGGGACATAGAATAGCTGAGCTCCTATTCCTTGGTGGCAGCGAATGCCCCATGTTAGGTACATTACTTAGCTTGGTCATGTTGTCTCCAAAGATCAAATGTTCTGCACTTGATTCCTTTGTCTTCATGCATCTTAATACTTGTGTCAATGAATCATTTGCTTGATGGAGCAATGGGTGTAGATGCTGTTCAAATAAATTTTTTGGACCCAAGTATCATCAGAGCTTCAAAGCAACTTTCACTATTGAATGACTCCAAAAGAAAGGTCTTTTCAAGTACCCTTTTGTGTTGCAAGCATAATCATACTCAGGGCACTAAATAGGCTTTTCTGTTACATTTTTGCAAAGGAAATAACTTTTCAAGTCCCTTTTTGTTACGATAGCCTGATCATTTTCAGAACATTGAAAAGATTTTTCAGTTATACGTCTGTAATGATATGTCTTTTCAAGCTCATTTTGTGATGCAAGCATAATCACTCAGATAACTGAATAGGTATTCCTTTTGAATGTATGTTATGAATACTTTTTTTAAAGTTCCCTTTTGTAATACAAGCATGGTCACACTAGGCAAACTGCATAGGTTTTTCTGTTGAATGTTTGCAAAGAAAATGTCTTTTCAAAGCTCCTTTTGTAGTACAAGCATAATCGCACTCAGANACAAGATACAAGATTAATTAGATGCACATGACACTCAAAAGGTAATGAAATAAAACATGAAATACATTAAGGTACAATTGTAAATGAATGATTCTACTGGATACTATAGCTAATGTTCTGCGGCCCTCTTCAACGACAGCATGATTATTTTCAGAACATTGAAAAGATTTTTCAGTCAAACATCTGTAAAGATATGTCTTTTCACGCTTACTTTCTGATGCAAGCATAATCACACTCAGATAACTGAATAGGTTTTCATTTTGAATGTATGTAAATAATACTTTTTTTCAAGTTTCCTTTTGTAATACAAGCACAATCACACTAGGCAAACTGCATAGGTTTTTCAGTCGAATGCTTAAAAAGAAAATGGCTTTTCAAGTCTCCTTTTGTAATGCAAGCATAATCACACTCAGAACACTGAATAGGTTTTACTGTTGAATGCTTGTAAAGAAAATGTCGATTCAATGCTCCTTTTGTAAGGCAAGCATAATCACACTCAGAACAATGAATAGATTTTTCTGTTGAATGCTTGTAAAGAAAATGTCGATTCAAGTCACTTTTTGTAATGCAAGCATAATCACACTCAGTACACTGAATAGTTTTCTCTGTTGAATGCTTGCGAAGAAAATGTATTTTCAAGTTCTGTTTTGAGATGCAAGCATAATCACACTGAGAACACTGAATAGGTCTTTCTGTTGAATGTTTGTTAAGGAAATGTATTCCCAAGTTCCTTTTTCTGGTGCAAGCATAATCACACTCAGAGCATTGGTAATACTTTTTGTTTGTATGCCTGAAGAGGAAATGACTTTTCAACTCCTCCTCTGTGGTGCCAGCATAATCACACTGGGAGCACTGAAAAAGTTTTACTGTTGAGTGCTTGAAATGGAAATGACATTTCAACATCCATTTTGTGGTGCAAGAATATTTGCACTCAGAGCAGAAAAACTTCTTCATTGTTGAACGTTTGGAAAGGCAATGCTTATGCAATATTTCTTTGTAACCTTCGGCATATTTTCTTTGAAAGTATTCCTGTGCATTTATCTGAGGATGCTTCAATAGAAAATGTTGTTTGAGATCAGAACCAGTGGCACAAAAATTCAAACAGATTTGGCACTGATGTTTATTTCTGCGCAAATTTTCGTAGTAAATATGCTGTTGCATAAATTTTCTCTTGTGTGATTGTCCACAATTAGGGAACTGAAACGTTGTCTCTGTTGAATGCATAGCATTAATGTGCTGCTGCAGTCCAATTCCTGAACTTGAGGTGTATTTAGAGCAGCGATGGGGCCCTGAAGCTTGATGTTCTAGATCAACAAGCTGCTGCAGGTGGTCTGTACCCGCAGGCACCAATCCATGCTGGGAACACCCAAGCCTGGTGTGTTGCTTGGAGGTGGATGCTCCTGATATGTCAGTAGCTCCTGTTGCAGGTGCTGATCCACCTTCGCCAAACTAAAAAAATACACAATGAAACTATCTCCCACCGTAACAACAGCCACAGTAAACTGGCGACTTTCAGGTTTGATTCTCAGTAAAATTTCTTATTAAGCTCAACAGAAAATAGAAATTATGATGGATATTTTCAAATTTGGGAATTTTCAACCAGTCTTTTCTGGTTTATGTAATGCTTACTCCACAGCAAAGCTTGGTCTGAAGAAATAGTGAGTATTATTCATGTAGACTTAGGTACAATGATTTCAATAATTACTAATACTTGATTTTTAAAGTTGGAAAATGATTTCCGAAAGAGCTATGGTTTTGAAAATGTGCTGTGACACTTTTAGAGCAAAGCAATACTTCTATTTTTTCTATCATCAAAACCTGACAATCTCACATAATATAATTGACAGTCACCCTCACAACACCACATACGACCCAGTACAACCCTCAAGTCAAGACAAAATATCAACTCAGTCCACTTGATCGCAACTTAGAAATCTTTTGCCTAACCTTTTATACTATGGTCATTTTCACTGCCTATTACAAAGGTACAAAAGCAAAATCATTAAGAAGCAATATCATATTAAAAGTCCTCACAAGAAAATCATTTGGACAAGATAAGGCCTACACCTACTACAAACCTGCAAAACCATCTGTTGTCCAATAATTGACTATGCCTGCCCAACCTGGAGCAGGCATAGATTTAAAAAATTGGCATAAATAAAAAAGGACTCACAGATTTACAAGACAGAAGATGGTACAACTATTTCATGGTAACTGTATTCTCTTAAACAATTCTAAAGGCGGAATAAACCGCAACATCATCAAGACATTTAGCTACTGTCATCTCTTTGGAGAGAGAATTTTGAAACCGAGATGCATTTGAGCTTTGGCTCCAGTCTCAGCTGGACCAGCTGGTGTCAGCCACAATGACAAACCCACTGTGTAAAATAATGAAACAATCTCCTTAGAGTTACTGTACTAATCATAACCCTAATACTCAAGATAAGCGCCCTATTTTTGATCCCTCAAGAATGATAGTTACATGTGATAGTTCATGATAGATGATGATTGATAATAGTTAAAGTAAAGATTTAATAGTATACACTAAGTAGACCATGGACAGCTCAAAGATGAAAGAATTGCTGTTGGGAAACCAAGCAATCCATTTTTTCCCATGCAGTGTGGCATTGTTACCTATTCTATCCTTCTGTGGATAAGATCTCAGATACATGAGGAGAGTAAGGATGTTATGTTTAAAGTAACTGGTTCGATTGCAACAAGTTCCTGCACTGCAGGATTAACATGTTCCAGGATTTCATCTTTCCTTAGATATATATTCAGATATATTGTCATCTATTTCTGAAGATCGAAAATCACACGAAAATACATTTTGCTATCAAAATTGAACTGTATGAGGAAAATGGCATCTGTAGTCAATATCAGTATCAGCAGTTATCAGTCAACTATAATATACTTAAATACCAACCAATAAATAAATACCAATACCTATGAATTAGCGCTGTTAAGGAATAGAGAAAATCTCTAAATAGTTTGTTGCACAGTGCCATTTAGGGAGAGCTAAAATTATGTTTATTTACCTGATTTCCCAACAGAGCAGAAGTGTTCTGTGAGGAGTTTGGGAGGGCGTCGTGAGTCTCAACTTGAGCTTCCATCTTGTACGGCACACAAGAGGAGAGTGCAGGTGCAGGGCCGAGATGTGCAGTTGAACAAGCCTGGGGGATGTGGAGGACAATGTTGATGTGGCTGCAGTGAGGTTTGCATTTTATGAGAGAGGATCTGATGTATAACTCCTTATAGATCTCTTTGCAAGTGTCTAATTCAACAAAAGGTCATAAATGTGGTAGCATCACAATTTACTAGCTATACAATGTCTTCTCATGTCAGTGCTCCGTAATGCAAATATTCCACTTGCCTGTTTTCAAACTAAGTAAATAAAATTTTCTATTTTTGTCTGATCAAATTGACATTCATAAATAATAGAGACATCTCTTTCCTTGAATTGTAGTTGTGTTATATCACTTAAGTTGAAAATTTATATCAATGGACATGAAGGTTCTCCTGTATTATTCTTTGCAATTCTCTGCTCTATTATTTTTTGATTGACAAAAAAGTAGACGCTTTTAAGGGGACCGGCTACCCTCCGGAAAAACTTCTACAGTTATCATCCGATCATCATGAAACTTCACATACATACGTAAAATGTAAAAAGAAAAACATTTTGCTCATATGAATTTTTCGAAAAAAATTGATAGAAAATGTGAAATTCATAGAAAACGGCTAAAAAGGGGTACTTTGGAAAATCTATCTCCTCCCACAAATATCATCCTACAACATCGAGACACGTATCAATCGATTCGTAAAGACCATATCTATTGACTCTAACATCACTTTTTTCATTTTCCATCTAGTTTTTTTTATTGCGTTTTTTCCATTTTTCCCATTTTTTTCTCATTTTTCACCCCTTCCCCCCATATAAAAAACGAACCAGACCGAAATTCAAAAAAGTGATGTTAGAGTCGATAGGCCTGGTCTTTACGAATCGAATGGTATATGTCTCATTGCTGTAGCTTGAAAACTGTAGGAGGAGATAGATTTGCCGTGAGAGCAGTATGAGGTTTTCAGTACGGCCAAAAGACTGCCCGCGCGGCACTTAAATAGACATAAAAGAGTGGCAACGCAGCCAAGATACCGTAACTTAGCCTTAAACCATTCAGGAAAGTATGGAGCAACTGGCTGCACACCTTTCACGTTGCTGTCATGATGGGCACTGAGAGGTTTGGCTTCAGCTCGCAGTTTTAGTAGTCACGCCCCGTAATTAGTGCCTTAGGAATTACTTAAGGCCGCCCCCCCCCCCCCCCTATCGATGCGTAAGAAAGTGCTCTTTCAAACAAGACTATGCCCACTTTAGTGCCATGATTGGCTGCTTAATGCCAGGCCTTCCTTTGTGGAGTGACCAGCACATCATTTATTCTCGTAGAGTTTTGTTAAGGGACCTAAAACCCGCCTCCCTTTGAGGAGCTGTCACAAAGTCATTTTTCGATGCACAGGGACGATACTTATATCGTTCGATGCGCAAGAAAACAACCTTTAAGATGAGATAAGAAACAGAAAAACTCAAAATTTTCAAATTTTAGGGTAGCCGGTCCCCTTAAAAAAAATTGGCATGGTTGCTGCCACTAGAGACCACCACATTTCATTATTATTCAACTACAGACAACTATGAGGAATAATGAGTTTGGATTTAAAATGGTAAACCTATTGCAGGTAATTTTAGATAAAAATATTCATGACTTCTGACCAATTATTGAATCAAGATGAAGGAGATTATACCTAATTATTATTGCTTAGTATTTCAGACATAATACTGGGTTGCAATTTGTCTTCCCAGCCTAACTTGAAGTTTTTATCACGGGAATAGCATTCATTCTGCAATTTTTTAATGAAAATCTATGCAAGAATTTCAAATGCTCTGCTGACCACTTGCATATCAACTGCACCTACCTCATTTCCATATGAGAATGGCTCTTCTTTGATGGATACTTCTTCTGTTTTATCCTCAGGCTCTTCCTTGATGGAGATAGCAGAATCTTTGAGTACCGGCAGAGGGTCAACCTTTTCTAAGGCTGGAAAAAATGTACATTGATGTACTGGTACCACTAGGCTATGGAGCAAGAAGTCTCATAGTAGATACAATACCGACCAAATTGAGAAATGTAAGCTTAGGCAAAAACATTGCTCAGAGTGAAATATATCATGAGTGAAACTGATGGGGTGGCATTTTCCCACACAACCTTATCTAATCTTGTTTTTAAACTCTTGAGAGATAAATACAGATGAGAATAAAATTGGATAGATTTACATACACCTAAGTTCCTCCTCTGTAAAATATCAATTGATTGGTGATTCAAATGGAATCTGGCTTACCTTCAGACTTTAATTTGCTGCCACCAGGAGATGCTTGAGTGAGGCTCTGCTCAGGGCATCTGCCACTCCTGACTGCAGCATTGGAGAGTTGGTGCAGCACAACACTGCATTCTTTGGTAATGGACACCATCACCAAATGTGATGATAGTTATGAACCACTGAGGTTGAAATTTTTAATCTATAATGTTGGCAGAATTAATAATAACACTGTACGGATACAGGAAATTGTACAGAGTTTAATAGAGACAACAAAAGGCCTTAATTTCAGCATTTGCAAAACAATTAACCCATCCAAAGTTAGTCAAGCACACAATTGCTTGCTTGCTGCATCAGCAATTTTTAATGCACAGGATTTGGCTACATGCAAGAATTGCTTGTATAATAGAAATTAAAAACATCTTGAAATAGACATGACAGCTTGAAGGATATCACAGGGAATGGATATCTAAGGGATGATTTTCAGGATGCATTTTGGCTCCAGAATATTGCCATCAATATTTTTGTACACCTAGCAACATACACATTGCTACATGAATATCATCAACATTTGAGATTTTCAATAATTCTATTGTTGGAGTAAGTTGCCTGAACTTAAGACATAAGAAAAGATACAAGCTCTTGATAGTGAAAATTATCGATTAGTGAATAGTATTCATGAATTACAAGTTTAATCAACAAGACTTGTTATAGTAATAGTTTGTGTCTGAGTAGAGACTTCTGCCTATTTCTTTCATCTTTCTAAGTCTAGTCTCATTCGTTTCATACAATTCATCAAATCTCTTGTCAAGTCGTATTCTTATTGCAAATTTCTCAACTACTTTCCATAATAATATTGTGATTTTTAAGCATCTCATAAGAGATTTCAGCTCTAAGGTTTTCTTGTTCCTTTTATGTAAACCTGAAGTATTGTCATTGAATTTTTTAACTAATTTTGAACCTTTTTAAAAACATTTTAGAATTTTCTCTTCAATTGCATTGTTTTGACCTGCAGGATAAATTTCACAAATATGTCTGATTGTCACCATAACCATACTTGAAAGATAAATTAGGGTGATATGTCTAAG